TAATACAGAACAAAAGACTTTCTTTTTAGACCTTTTGAAGACTTTTTCACAATAATGAGGGTTTGTTTGGTTTTAAACTAAATCAATAGATATACAGTTCAAATTGAACACAAATCATGTTCTAGATGTCAAACAGTAGTGGAGCAGGTTCTTCGTTAATGTGGTGAACTACTCCTGTGGTTACTGTTCACCTATGTCAACTTGAAGAACTAGTCTCTAGCATTGTCCTAAAAAGACTCATACATACAAACTCTGACAGGATGTGGTCATGGTTTGTGATAAACATCAACCCTTGACACACATATCGAGCTGCAAGGCTGATCTTGGTCAGTGTGTTGGGTTGACTATAAAGACAACCTTTGTTTACCTCCTCGATCCTTTTGCAGGTTCAGTTACACCAAACGTTTCCGCACGCTCAGACGCTGTGTAAGTGAGGGGGGCCATCGATCTGAGCTCAATGGTGCCGAAGAAAATTTCCACCAGGTTTGTCCAAGGCCTGTAAAACAATGTATGTGTTTGTGATATGTGTGCTATACTAAACTGTGTTACCGTCTAGGCCAAACATGGGACCACAGAGCAGTGGAGAATCCTTCAACAGCCGCCACATGAGGGGGAAGATGGGACGGCCGCTCCGATGAAGACCAGGCTCCGCAGACACACGGAACAGGAACGGGAGCGAGAGATTAGAGTCAGGCAAACGGTGGAGGAGACGAGAAGTGCTCCAACTTCACCCATAGATCCTGTGTCTCCCATTGATATCTCCCCCTACCCCAAACCAGCTCAGTGGTCTGTGGATCAAGTGTCAAGCTTCATATCCAATTTACCAGGTACAAAGAATCCCGTCTGTCTGTCTATCTATCTATCTATCTATCTATCTATCTATCTATCTATCTATCTATCTATCTATCTATCTATCTATCTATCTATCTGTCTATCTGTCTATCTGTCTGTCTGTCTGTCTGTCTGTCTGTCCATTCTTCTATCTATCTATCTATCTGTCTATCTGTCTGTCTGTCTGTCTGTCTGTCCATTCTTCTATCTATCTATCTATCTGTCTATCTGTCTGTCCATTCTTCTATCTATCTATCTATCTATCTATCTATCTATCTATCTATCTATCTATCTGTCTGTCTGTCTGTCTGTTTGTCTGCTGTCTGTCTTTCTAGCTCCTGTCTATCCGTCTATCTATATATTTACCTATCTATCTGTCTGTCTGCTGTCTGTCTGTCTATCTATCTATCTATCTATCTGTCTGTCTGTCCATTCTTCTATCTGTCTATCTGTCTGTCTGTCCATTCTTCTATCTATCTATCTATCTATCTATCTATCTATCTATCTATCTATCTATCTATCTATCTGTCTGTCTGTCTGTTTGTCTGCTGTCTGTCTGTCTGTCTTTCTAGCTCCTGTCTATCTATCTATCTTTCTAGCTCCTGTCTATCCATCTATCTTTCTAGCTCCTGTCTATCCATCTATCTATATATTTACCTATCTATCTGTCTGTCTGCTGTCTGTCTGTCTATCTATCTATCTGTCTGTCCATTCTTTTATCTATCTATCTATCTATCTATCTGTCTATCTGTCTGTCTGTCCATTCTTCTATCTATCTATCTATCTATCTATCTATCTATCTATCTATCTATCTATCTATCTATCTATCTATCTGTCTATCTGTCTGTCTGTCTGTCTGTCTGTCTATCTATTTGTCGTCTGTTTCTCTGTCTGTCTATCTATTGGCCAGGCTTTCTCAGGCTAACATTAAATTTGATTTGACAAACTTTTGTGAACATTAACACTACTGTTTTAACCCACCTCAATTGTCTCAGGGTGTCAAGACATTGCAGAATCCTTCAGAGCCCAAGAGATCGACGGGCAGGCCTTGCTTCTGCTGACTGAAGACCATTTGATGAGCGCCATGAAAGTCAAACTTGGCCCCGCTCTCAAAATATGCGCCCGCATCAACTCCCTGAAAGAAGGTGGAAGATAAAGAGAATGAAACAGAGACACAAAAGAAGCTAGGTATATCCTTGTGGACCATAAGAGCACTTGCCAATAGAATAGAGCCATTTTGTGCACTTTAATCTTCAGAGATTTATGCGATAATTTCATTGTTATGAGAAAGCTTACATGTATTTGCTTGAACTAAACTAGCAAAACCTTACAGTTCTTGTAAACTTAGCCTCTGTCTGAAAGCATGGTAGCAATATAATGGTCTCAGTCTGTGAGCGTTTTACAGGATGTATATTTAATTGCAGTAGGAGGGAACTGTTAGCGTCTCCTTTTTTTGTATGGGTAATCATGATCAGGGTCAATGATTTTATATTTTTGGCTGAGAGCAAAGGAGATCACTTCCTGTGTCGGTGCGGAGAGGTTTGACAAGAACGGAAGTGCTGTTATTGTGTGCATGTCCCATTGTATATATTTTCCTATCGTATTCCATATGTATACATGTATAACAATGCAGTGTTCTGTGGGTATAAATTAAAAAAATGTTTTGTGAAGGATTTGTAATATTTAATATATTTGTCTTCTAAGGCTCTAGAAAGTACAAATGCGAATCATTTCAAGTTTATAAACATTTTTAAATGACGTTTGAGATACTGACATAAATGACATTTTGTGAAATCTCCGTAGTGGTACTGTGTAAATCAGACAGACTGTCGAAGAATAATACAAGAAGAAGGTATCCAAAGGCAATCGTTTTAAATCAAGGCAGTGAAAAGGTGCCTTTTTTTTGAGACCTTATGAAACTACTGTAGTCATTTTGCTGAGGCAAACTATGTACTAGATTGTGTCATCAAGTGTTGTTTCTCATTGTTATATTACCTTTCTTGTGCCACTTTTGATTATTTAATTAAACCAACTACATTTTGTTACGGAACTTTGATTTGCCTATTTATTGTACCTATTTCTTTGTCAAATTTTTATTTATTTGATCTTTTTTGTCCTTTTACAGGTGGTAATGTGGATTACCCAGCTTTTTGAGTTACCATGGTATGTAGATAACTGTTTGGGGTCAGTCATTTTTTTTTCTTTTTATTCAGCAAGAATGCTTTAAATTGATCAAAAGCCACAGTAAAGACTTTCACAATGTTACAAAAAAATCTATTAAAAAGTTATTTCTTTTCATCAAAGAATCATGAAAAAATATATATCACGGTTTCCAGAAAAATATTAAGCAACACAACTGTTTTTAACATTAGTAATAAGAAATGTTTTTTTAGCACCAAATCAGCATATTAGAATGATTTCTGAAGGATTATGTGACACTGAAGACTGGCTCAATGGCTGTTAAAAATCAGCTTTGTCATCCAGGAATAAATTACATTAAAAAATAAATAAAAATCTTACCGAACCCAAACTTTTGAACAGTAGTGTATGTATGTGGTTTTGCAGATACATCTGTTTTCTGTGTTTTAGTAAGGGTGGTTTCTCTGAGCTTGGTATGAGTCATCATAAAGCGTCCAGATATGTTTCAAATGTCAAAAATTGGTCTTGGACAGCGTAATATCATCTAACCCACTAGATGGCATTCACACCCAAAATAGTAATTTCATACCTCCTCAGAGAGGGTCTTTTTAGATTGTTACGGTTGACACAAAGTTCAGTTGTAGTTTGAGAAATATTATCACGATTATTTAATTTGGGAATAATCCGAAAACTATAACACTGAGAGAGAAAAAATAAAAGCAGAGACTTATTAATGCTGTAAAAATCAAGAGATGTTATTCTCTTTTTTTTATTTATTTTTTATTGCAAAGAACGGAAACATACAAAGAATAAGCATACATCACATAATATCAACCACAAAAATAAAATGGAGACAAATCACTAAAATAAAAATAAAGATAAGGATAAGAGGGCCATCATCTAAAAATGATTACATGAAGAGATCAAAGGCAGAGCAAATCCTAACAGTCCTTATAGCTTTCTTATTAGTAAATACTGAAATTACATTCAAATAATTTTCCATTTCTTTTAGAAAGACAGAGAAGACAGGTTTACAGGTGGAAAATTTGCTTTTGTGAATGTGAAATTTGCTTAGGAAAAAAATTAAATTAATAACAAAACAGATATTTTCGTTTGAGGGGTCATAATACCCAAATATAATGTTTTTCATATGTACTGAGAAGCCTGGCAAAGTCTTACACTTGACAAACACACCAATATCATCCCAAAACTTCTGAGTGTAGTGACATGACTAAAAGAAGTGTACCACAGTTTCTTCAGAATTCGAACAAAAAGAGCATGTAAGCTCAATGTCAGATTTAAATCTTTGTATAAACTTCTTTACAGGGTAGAACCTGTGTATGAGCTTAAAAGAAATTTCTTTCACCTTGTTTGTGAGAAAGAATTTTTGCTGTAGAGACCAGATTTTTTCCCAATTAAGGTTAACAAACTAATTATTCCAAAAGGAAATCACAGGTGGAACAGAAATCAGATTTTTAAGAAATAAAGATCGTATCTTATAATTTTTGGCTTTCGACTCAGAGAAACAAATTTGACCAACAGGAGTATCACAAGGTTTAGGAAAGGAAGCAGTAGATACTGATAAGTAATTACAGTTTTTAAAAAGCATACATAAACCAGAGGGGATAGCTCCCAAAACTGTAGCAAATTCTTTTGCCGTTATTGGTATTTGGTATTTGGAAAGAAATTCTGAGTACCTGAACAAAAGACCTTGCTCATTAAACAACTGTTCCACCAATAATAAACCATTACTGAACCAACTATCATAAAACAGAGACTTATTCTTGAATAAAATGTTCTTATTGTTCCAAATAAAACATCTTTGTGGTGAAAAGTTATGCTTATAAATTAGTGCCCATGCTAAGAGAACCTGTCGATGAAAGTTGGAAAGTTTGATAGGGAGTTTGGGTATATCATAATTACACATGAAGAGAAAGTGAATGCCACCAAGTTGTGAAAAAACAAGTTGAGGAAAAACATTCCAAATAGAAGATGGTTTGGCTAGATATTGGTCCAGCCAAAAGAGATGTTATTCTCCAGGCTTTGAGGGACGGCCGTTGTGACGTATATGGCTGTGCTTTCTTCTGATTGGCTGAAAGTTATGTTGGGCACGTCCACTATAAAAAGTTAATTTACCAAAAGGATTGTTTTACAGTCCATTCTCAAACTGTTTGTACGCTAATCTGCTCCAGCATGTGTTTTATTTAGGATCAGTGATCTTGATTTTTTTTTTAATGTTTTCGTATTAGTTTTTGACTTGGATACCATATAACGTTAGTAGTAAACATCTTCTTTGCGAACACATTTGTACATATTCAGTCAGAATGTCTCATAGCTGTCGTCTGCTTTGTGGTTTTTTAATGAGCTGCATCGGCTGGACTGGTATTATAATAGCGAGCTCAACAAACGACTGGGTGGTGACCTGTAAGTATGGCATGCACACCTGCAGGAAGATGGATGAGCTGGAGACCAAGGGCTTGTGGACAGAGTGTGTCATCTCTACTGCTCTCTATCACTGCATCTCACTCAACCAGATCCTCGATATACCAGGTGAGAAATATGTTCATGTTTTAGTAAAAATCTGTATTTTATTTGTATGCATCCTTTTTGCTTTTCATTTATGGAATTAAATCAATTTTTTTTTCTTCTTCTTTTTTTTTTAAATACTTTTTTTAATCACATAATATCCACCTGGGACGCAGGCATAGAGAGATTTTAGTGAATTTCTCTGAGACCCTACATGCCACAGTCTGGATGTCCTGTACAAAGCACATTCAGGTTTTTTTTTTAGAGATATCAAATGTTTGGAGGTTTGATCATAAACAAATAAACACTCCCTCTCCTTGGTCTTTAAATATGACTGATATTGATAGAATGATCACATTTAGCTCTCTTATGGAAATATGATAATGTTTTGTAGTTATCATTTACATTAAATCTGGCTCATTTTCCAATTGTTTGTCGTAAATAAACATTTCAGAAAAAAATGTTATGGGGTTTCAAATCGGAATATGACTTTTTGTTATGAAACAGGGCATCATTTTCATACATGTCTTCTGTAGAGGACACCAGGACAAACGGCATGTTAATCAGGCATTTTGGGGAGACATAACAAGTCAACAGGGAAATAAATTATATATAAATATTCCTATGAAATATGAGATATTCTTATGAAAATGTTGCCACGTTATTACTCCCATTATAACACTTCTTTTTTCATCATGGTTTGCCCCAAGAACACATTCATATGCAAATTAGATGCAATGTATAAATACATTGTATAGAATGGGAATACCAATATATGGACATTTAAAAATATATATAATTTACGCACATATTCCATAAAGTACAGTAGTATATCAAATCATTCTGTTATATCTTTCATAACATTGGCTAAAAAAACCTAAAAACTGATTGGTGAATGAAAAAATAAAACTATATAAGTATATATGCCTTTTAATGTTTGTTTATTTTAATAACTTAGTCCTGGCATCCCTTACAAAGGACATAGAATCAAATATGAATCAAATATATGTTTTTTTGTCCATTTGTTTCTTATGCTCCAACCAATGTAATGACATTAAAAAAAAATCACAAAACCTTTTTTTCTGATTCTCAGGAGGATATTATTTTAACATAATTTTATTTCTGTTGAATAGTTATAACGCAGGAATTATTCAAACGTAATTTAAGTATATGTATACATGTCCTATTTATAATATATATTCGCTTTTTTGTGCAAACGATGGGTTGTCAGGGAAGCTGAATGCATTTGTTGTTTTTGTTTGAAGCTTACATCCAGACGTCGCGCGCTCTGATGGTCTCCGCCTCTCTGCTCGGACTGCCCGCTCTGGCGCTCGTGCTGCTGGCGATGCCGTGCGTCAAACTGAGCCAAGAGAGCGAAGACGCCAAACACAGACGCGCAGTCCTGGGAGGACTTCTTATACTGTTCATATGTGAGTTATTGCTGTGTGAAATATATTAGGGCCAATCTCAGAAAAGGGTGTCATTTACATCTCACCAAAATGGAAATTTCAACGATAATTTCTTAAAGGGATAGTTCACCCCAAAATGAAAACACTGTAATTTATTCACCCAAATGTTGTTCCAAAATCTGTTCACTTTCTTTATTTTAAAACTCAAAAGGAGTTTTCCCAGATAGCACACATACGTCTGCAAGATGTCTTTTAAAGATCACTGCATCTGGAAAGCATCTGCTGTGAACAAACATCTAATGGACATCTTTCAAACGTCAGTTTTACATACATTCTGAATCATAAACATCTTAAATACATTTTCTAAACGTCTATTTGACATCTGATAGGAAATGTCCTATAGACTTATTGCAGATGAGCAAACACTCTAAAAAATACATCTTGCAGATGTAAATGCAGACATCTCCGTGATGTTTGTGTGCTATCAGGCTACATTCTATATGATCAAAAAAGTAGTTTTGTGCATTATATTCTACTGAAGTCATTATATAGTTATAATATCACCTCCAGTGGGATAGTCAGTGTGTGATTCTGAGAGCTGGATCAATCCAATTTGTGAACAAATCATTTATGAATTGGATCAGTCAATTATTTGAAAAGATCTGACTAACAAGAACAATTTGTATTACTGCTTCGCTCATAAACTCTTGTGTAAGCGCCAAGAAGATCTAGGATGTTCAATGAAAGTGTATTTACATTTTTAAGTGAACTGTCCCAATCCTAAATATGTGGATTCAACGGTTTAAAGTAGCACTTAACACTATTAAAAAGAAAGGCTCTTTATTATCTTCTATGGTTTCATGAAGAACCTTCAACATGCATGGAACATTTTTTCATAGTGGTAAAACATGCTTCAGATTATTCAAATGTTCTACACACTAAGAAATGGTTCTTTTAGAACTGTTCACTGAAAGGTTCTTTGGGGAACCAAAAATGGTTCTACTTGGCGTCGAGGCAAAACCCCCTTTTGGAACCTTTTTTAGAGTGTTAAGTGCTACACCTATTCAATCCCATCATAGTAAACTTGGTATCTACCAAAACCCATTTAACCAATAACATCTGAGTACCTTTCCTAGAACAGTCATGGTACCATTTCCTGCAAAGGACCCTTTGATATATTACTCGTGAACCTAAAATAAAGCAGTTTGTTAAATTGTTGAAATTTTAGCAGTTCTAAGCCCTTTTAATGTTTGTTTATTTTAATAACTTAGTCCTGGCATCCCTTACAAAGGACATAGAATCAAATATGAATCAAATATATGTTTTTTTGTCCATTTGTTTCTTATGCTCCAACCAATGTAATGACATTAAAAAAAAATCACAAAACCTTTTTTTTCTGATTCTCAGGAGGATATTATTTTAACATAATTTTATTTCTGTTGAATAGTTATAACGCAGGAATTATTCAAACGTAATTTAAGTATATGTATACATGTCCTATTTATAATATATATTCGCTTTTTTGTGCAAACGATGGGTTGCCAGGGAAGCTGAATGCATTTGTTGTTTTTGTTTGAAGCTTACATCCAGACGTCGCGCGCTCTGATGGTCTCCGCCTCTCTGCTCGGACTGCCCGCTCTGGCGCTCGTGCTGCTGGCGATGCCGTGCGTCAAACTGAGCCAAGAGAGCGAAGACGCCAAACACAGACGCGCAGTCCTGGGAGGACTTCTTATACTGTTCATATGTGAGTTATTGCTGTGTGAAATATATTAGGGCCAATCTCAGAAAAGGGTGTCATTTACATCTCACCAAAATGGAAATTTCAACGATAATTTCTTAAAGGGATAGTTCACCCCAAAATGAAAACACTGTAATTTATTCACCCAAATGTTGTTCCAAAATCTGTTCACTTTCTTTATTTTAAAACTCAAAAGGAGTTTTCCCAGATAGCACACATACGTCTGCAAGATGTCTTTTAAAGATCACTGCATCTGGAAAGCATCTGCTGTGAACAAACATCTAATGGACATCTTTCAAACGTCAGTTTTACATACATTCTGAATCATAAACATCTTAAATACATTTTCTAAACGTCTATTTGACATCTGATAGGAAATGTCCTATAGACTTATTGCAGATGAGCAAACACTCTAAAAAATACATCTTGCAGATGTAAATGCAGACATCTCCGTGATGTTTGTGTGCTATCAGGCTACATTCTATATGATCAAAAAAGTAGTTTTGTGCATTATATTCTACTGAAGTCATTATATAGTTATAATACCACCTCCAGTGGGATAGTCAGTGTGTGATTCTGAGAGCTGGATCAATCCAATTTGTGAACAAATCATTTATGAATTGGATCAGTCAATTATTTGAAAAGATCTGACTAACAAGAACAATTTGTATTACTGCTTCGCTCATAAACTCTTGTGTAAGCGCCAAGAAGATCTAGGATGTTCAATGAAAGTGTATTTACATTTTTAAGTGAACTGTCCCAATCCTAAATATGTGGATTCAACGGTTTAAAGTAGCACTTAACACTATTAAAAAGAAAGGCTCTTTATTATCTTCTATGGTTTCATGAAGAACCTTCAACATGCATGGAACATTTTTTCATAGTGGTAAAACATGCTTCAGATTATTCAAATGTTCTACACACTAAGAAATGGTTCTTTTAGAACTGTTCACTGAAAGGTTCTTTGGGGAACCAAAAATGGTTCTACTTGGCGTCGAGGCAAAACCCCCTTTTGGAACCTTTTTTAGAGTGTTAAGTGCTACACCTATTCAATCCCATCATAGTAAACTTGGTATCTACCAAAACCCATTTAACCAATAACATCTGAGTACCTTTCCTAGAACAGTCATGGTACCATTTCCTGCAAAGGACCCTTTGATATATTACTCGTGAACCTAAAATAAAGCAGTTTGTTAAATTGTTGAAATTTTAGCAGTTCTAAGCAAAATGCTAGATGTTGTCCTCTGGTTGCTCATATCCTCTCTAAAGTCAAGCTTTCAACATACAGGACTGAAAATGTCCTTGACTGAAGTAACTGTAAATCATCCAGAGATTTCCTACATCCTGTTAGAGTGGGAAGAGCCAGTCATGGTCAACATGTCCGAACCATTTTTACAGGTGGCTGGTTTGTTCTGTAAACAACACAAATAAAGCTCCCAGTCTTAAGGTGTGGTCACATTTACCGTTGTTCAGCGAATTTTCACGGGCGAAATGCATTCGTTTAAATGGGAATCTACAATTTCTGGAATTCGAGTGAGGGTGAAAGATTGCCATGCACAAATTTCACATCATGTTCAAATTCGCCATGTTGACACACAGAAAGCTGCTTGGTTTAAAGGTGACTTCTATCATACATCGCTTCGCCATTGACTATTGACTTTTTCGCTAATGTAAGTCAATTTGCTATTCTCCGTGATTATGGTATGGCATTATAGCACCCTTCCTCTTGTTTTCAGCTCTGTGCGGGATGGTGTCAACGGTGTGGTTTCCTATTGGCGTGCTTCACGAGGACGGCCTGATGTCATTCGGATTCTCCTTGTATGCTGGCTGGGTCGGTTCAGCCCTTTGTTTTTTTGGCAGCTCGGTGATGATTTGTTGCTCAAGGGGTGACAGCCCGAGTCAAAATCTTGAAAACCACTACTACTACTCAAAACACAGCGGCGTTACCAACTCTGGCCCTCCTATAAACAGCCATGCCAAGAGCGCACATGTGTGAGAGTGAAGACACACTGGACAAGACCGCAGGCGCCTTACCTCAAGATTTGAGAAAACAAAAAGAATTTTTCTACTGCCATGCTTTGACTGCAAACATGTGAAGATTTGGCGGGAACAGAGAATTCGGTGGAAACTGTTCTTTTTTGTGTGTTAAAACTTAAGACGTTTGAACATTAAAGGCTTTGTTTGAACAGACGTTGAAATGAATCCAAAGGGAAACCGCTCTCTTCTCCCTAGGCATTTCATTTTTCATTGGCTTTACAGTATTTACACAGTATTCATTTTGCTCCTATATTTTATTTTACCAGCTACTTTATTTTATCTTGTGTAAAAGTTGTGAATATAAGCTCATTAGCTCATGCCAACATTTAGGAAAGCATGTACACCCAGACAGACAGATAGATAGATGGACAGGAAAGCTGTGTGGTTGAATGACCAGATGTCATCTGCACTGTTTTCCGGGAGATCTCCTCACAGCTTCCTGCACACAACCTCCTAGGAAATCAGCATTTGAAATTTGAGAGAAAAAAAATGTGTAACAGGAAAACCGGTCATTTTTTTTCTGGTCCCACATAGTTGGTGATTGATTCATTGTGGTAATGCATTATTTTATGTGCTGTTTGGGAGTTTGAGGACATAATACTTCTTATACCGTCTACTTTTTTATGCATTTTACTTGTTCAAAATCATCACGCCATCTCATAATACACAAATTGAATGTGTCTGAATGAAAACATGAACAAAATATATTTTAAAAAATATTGTTATAGCTGATGACACAAAAAAGACACCATTTGTGCTTGTAAAATATATTAATTTTAATATTTCATTTTAAATATATTTGTATATTCTTTTCAAACATGTAACTCTTGATCTCTGTGAATATTAGTGTGTTCTGAATTTGAATGATTTTTAGCGCAGAGCTGTAAGGAAGAAATGTAAATATCCTCGTGCAAACCTAAACAAGGGTGAAACCACAAGAGCACGACATTTCTACAAACCAACAGAGAAAGAATTTGATATCAATGTTGCTAAATATTTTGAGAACTATTGAGCTTTCACAGGGAGCCAATCATAATATTTCCTCCCTTGAAATTCAAGGGCGAGCTTGAGACTTTAGATCAAACACAGCTGTGGAGATGATGTAAGATGAAAAGTCCACTCAATGCATCTTCAGAGGGTTTCTGCTCATGTACTGACAACTTGCATTGGTTTTTGCTTTAAAGAGGCATCCTGAGTTTTTATACGGAGAAGACAAGGGCATTGCTTTTAGGATCTTAATAATGGGAAAAAAAGAGTACGGTTTGTATTAAAGCCAACACTGAAACAGCAGCTCACATCAGAAAGAAACACTAATTCTGTTCGAAATCTAAGCATATATTTGATTTTAGTAGAATAACATTAAGGAGGGGTTATTTAAAGGCACTTTTGAAGCCTTAATATAAAAACTGGGCTAAACATCCCTCTAGATAAGTCACATCTATCACAAGGTACAAATGCATTTAACAAGCACCTGTTCAAGAATACATCTTCACTTAGAATAAAAATAAAAAGTTCACTTAGAAACACACTCAAAAATGTTTTAATAACTAGTGAGACATGATTAATAACACCTTCAAACCTAAAAAAAATCCATCAGTGACTGATTTTGTCTGGTAGAATGTGTTCCTGGATTAATGTTTGTTCCTGTCAAACAAGCACAGTACTAACCTCACTGCAAAAAATGACTTATCTTACTTAGTATTTTTGTCTTGTTTCTAGTCTTAAATCAAGATACTTTTACTACTTAAGATATTTAGTCTTCTTTCCAGGGGGGAAAAAAACTATAAGTGAATTTTGCTTAAAACAAGTAAAATGATCTGCCAGCGGGGTAAGTAAAATACTCTTGTTTTAAGCAAAATGCACTTAATTTAGTTTCCCCCCCCCTGGAAACAAGACTAAATATCTTAAGTCATTTGACTTATCTAGTAAAAGTATCTTGATTTAAGAATTTCTAGATATTTTGAAACAAGACAAACATACTAAGTAAGATAAGCCATTTTTTGCAGTGCTTAACCATTAACTACCCACAAGGTCTTAATTCAAATAAAAGTGTTCATTTTAATAATGAAAACAAAAATATAGTTTAATTTTATTTTGTCATCATGTCACACTAATTTATCATAGAACTTAAATAATATATATTTAATTTGTATAATTTAAATATATTAAATTATATAATATAAATTAAAAATAAATTATTTTAAAGTCAGCATGAAATAAAATTCATGTTTTATAAATGCATCTTTTATAAATGCATCTTAATGATCTTATTGTGAACTATTTATCCGTGTTTCATTTTTACATTCTTTTTTTTTTACTTGGATGTGCATCATAATATGGAAGAAAATATATGTTGATTCCATTCCATTGTGACTTTAATAATAGCCCTACTTTAAAATGGCTACTAATTTTAGTAAAATAAAATAACATTTCAGTCGATGAGAAAAAAATGAAAACATTTGATATATTTTATAACGTTATATTTATATATATACTTTTTATTTTTATTTGGACTTACCTCATGTGTATAGGATGTGCTGGTAAGTTGATTAACCTGCTAACAAAGTTTTTTATTTACATTAATTATATAGATCCTTACTACTATAAATGTGTCTATAAATTGTTTTTTTTTACCATATATTACCAACAGTATGTTTTAATTAAAATTGTCATGATACGCATTTTCCTTTTGTCTTCATTACTTATTACAGTATTGCAGCATTGATCTAGGAACATATTCTGTTTGCCAAACTCAAGGTCACCCAAATCCAACCTCTACTGCGACAGTAGTTTAGTATATATTTCTCACTCAGGTGAATACTCTTCATTGACCAGCTCCTCAAAGCCTTCATTAGTCCTGCCTTTGCTTCTGGAATTGTGACTGTTGGACGGTCTCTGTTCATCATAGTGCTGCTGGGACTGGTAGTGTTTCTGGTACTGATAACTGCGCTCCTCAGCCGCCCAGCCCTGGTACTGTCCCTCTTGTTCGTCCTCCTGAGGAGGGAGGTCTTCATCGATATTGAAGCTGTCATCCACCTCTGTGTCATACCTCTGGTAGGAGCTGGCGTGAGCCGCTTCCTCTCTAGCACTGAGTTCCAGCGAGCTGTTCCACATCCCATAGCTAAAATAGATCAGCACACCTGAAGGGCGAAGAGATGGGGTCAGTTACGGCCTGTTCACACCATAGACGATGAAGTTTTATAATCATTCTATTTAAACATGAGAATATGGAAGTCCACACCACAACTATAACACTAACGATGAAAGATATCATTGGAATCACTTTCTGAACAATTTTTTCCAGCTGATGAACAGTAAAAATACTGATAGCAAATCAGAAAGAGCTTGAGCATTTAATGCGGCAGATGACAAAACTGCAACGTGCGATTAACAGAATGTCCATTGGTGTAGACACTAATATAGTTATTGCTATAGTTATCGTTCTTGGTGTAAATGGGATTTTGTTATATATCAATATGACTTAAAAAAAAAAATAATAATAAAAAATAATACTCTATTTTATTTTATAGTGACATATTATAATAGTAAACTTTCTTCTTTTTTATTTAGATTTAATATTGAGTTAATATTAAATAATATAATTAACATATTAAATAATATATGTAAATAATATTGCAAATAATACAATATATAAATAAAATAAATATCTTTAAAATAAAACTAATATTTTGCTGTAAAAATAAATAATATTTTATGATTTAGTAATAATAATGATGATAATAATAATAATTATTATTACTAAATGCCAAAATATTTCATATTATTAAATATTTTATTTAAATAATATATAATAAAAAAGAAATCTTACTATTGTAATATTTCATTGTAAAATAAAATAGAGTATTTAAGAAAAAATAATTTAATTTCACATTACAACTGTAAAATTGTAAACACAACTGTGATTTAATTTCTTCTTATTCAAATGGGAAATTATAGAACCAAAGCAACACTTTCTTTTTTGATAATGAAATCACGGCCTTTGCAATGTTAAAATTTCATTAATCGCGCAACCCTAAAATGGAGCATATGTAGGAGAAGATCTGGCCTACCTAGTGAGCACCACACCACAAAGCGCACCCAGGTGATGCTGGATAGTTTGAGCATGAGGTAAATGTTCACCAGCATGGCAGCGGTGGGCACAAAGGGCACACAGGGTGCCATGTAAGGCAGCTTTTTAGGGTTCTCAGGCTGCCGGAGAATAATTATAAACAAAGTAACCATGAGGACAATTACAGTCATTATAAAAGGTAACATTGCCCAGCGAGCTCCTCCTGAGACCCGGTCGAAGCCATAGATGACAAGCGTCCAGAGAAAGAAGGTCAAGATGAAGAAAAGGAGGACACAGGAAGTAACAGTGCGTCCTGTGGCAGGAGTGGGCCTATCGCCCAAGTTCGGCAGGCCCAAACGCATCCGTATAGTGTAATAATGGGACCCCAATATGCGTTTCAAGAAACTAGCAGAGTCATCCACCTCAATCCCATTCTCTCCAATGCCGCAGCCAGAACTATCCGACTGGTAGCCCCCAGAATCTGACTTTTCAATCAGCGTTTCGTCTTCTCCTTTGGAGGGGAGGTTCTTGGCTCCGCAGGGGTTGTCGGCATACTCTTCTCCACCAGGTGAGTTCATGTCCTTCTCACTAGCTGCCATCATTTCCTCCTTCCTCTTCCGCTCCTCCTCTTCCTCCTTGGTGAGGAAACTGGTGAAGCCATCTCTATCTGGCTGATATCGCAGAAGCAGCACACACACTGACACCAGAGTATAGGCCAACAGTGTGCCGATGGACATCATCTCGATCAGGTCCCTCAGACTCACCAGGAGAGCCAACAGAGCAGCCAGAGAGCCTGATACAGCACAGGCCACCACAGGGGTCTCTGTGTGTGGACTCACAAAGGACAGGAACCTGGTGTAACAGGTTGTAATAACAATCCAGAGTTATTATAGGTAACTAAAACCATTAAAAAAAAAAACTGTTTTTGTACTTG